TTCCGCTTCCCCTCAATGCCTTCTCCTGACCTGGGCTACCTTCTTTGGAACAGCCTGCAAATCCAGAAGCGCCTGCAGCAGCAAAAGATTCTGGCGGACGCCATTGCTCAGAATACTTCGCGCCAGAGCCGCTCCAGCCGGTCCAAGCAGAAGGGCGTCTCGCCGGAGCGCTCGCCCTCGCCGCATGCCTCCCGGTCGTCCTCCTCCCGGTATGGCGACCGTGGGGACTCGGTGGAGCGCGACCGCGGCGACCGTCGCGACCGGGGGTCCACCTCCTCCTCTTCCTCGATGTCGGAGTACGACCGGTATGATGGGAGCCGCGACCGCGAGCGCGGCAGTAGCAGCCGCGGCAGCGGCCGGGACCGGTATGACGAATCCGGCCCCGATGAAGGCCGCTACCCAGATGACGGGGACCTTGACGATCACCGGTACCATGCCTCGGGCCGGGACCGGGATCGGGACCGCGGTCGCGGTGACCGTGATCGCTATGATGACCGATACGATGACCGGTATGATGACCGGGACCATGACCGATATGATGACCGATATGATGACCGGGATCGCCGGGACCGTGAGCGCGAGCGCGAGCGCGATCGCTATGACGATCACGATCGCCGGGACCGCGAGCGCGACCGCCGCGACCGTGACCGGTACGATGACCATGAGCGTCGGGATCGGGAGCGCGAGCGCGAGCGCGAGCGCGAGCGCGATCGCTATGACGACCGGTATGATGACCGGGAGCGTCGATACGAGGACTCCGGCTCGCGGTCGCGTGGTGCCGGCTCCAGCCGCTCTTGCGGGGCCGATGACCATGATCCCCTGTCGGATAGCGAGACCCTTGGCGCCGGCGAGTCCGAGGATATGCTTCTGTCGACCGGGCGCCGGGGCCGGGCTCGGCCCCAGGCGGCCGACGATCACCACGGCCATCGGTCTTCCGGGCGCACCTCGCATCATGGCTTCTCCGACGATGAGCACGACTACAACCATGTCAGTGACTTCAGCGACAGCATGGAGTCCGACTACCGGGATGACGACTCCGACCGCGAGACCGGGTCCGGTGGGGGGTCGGCCGTCAGCGCCGAGCAGCAGCCCCTGGACTTGGCGACCGTGCACCGGCTGCAGGTCCGCCGTAATGAGCTGACGGAGTGGTGCTTCCGTGATGACTTCCCATCCCTGGTGCAGGGGGGCCTCATTCGCGTGAGCGTCCAGCTTCCGCCCGGGGGGGCCTCGCGTGGCGCCAGCAATGCGGGCCCCATCAAGGTGGCTTACGAGATCAGTCGAATTGTGGGGGCCCAGGACTGCTCGGACTCGCCCTACTCGGTGGACGGGTCACTGGTGCACATGGCTCTGATTGTGGCCGGTGGCCGGGCGGGCTCGCGCCTTCCCGGGGCTGACTCTCGCCACTCTCAGCAGGTCATCCGCTTTGATTACATCAGTAACTCCCGCATTGAGGAGGGGGAGTTCAATGCGTACGTTGCCTCTCTCCCTCTCCCTCTCCCTCTCCCTCTCCTTCTCCCTCTCCCTCTCTCTCCCTCTGTCTCTCTCTTTCTCTCTTTCTCTCTTTCTCTCTTTCTCTCTCTCTCTCTCTCGCTCTCTTTCTCTCTTTCTCTCTTTCTCTCTCTCTCTCACTCTCTCGCTCTCTTTCTCTCTCTCGCTCTCTCGCTCTCTTTCTCTCTTTCTCTCTCTCGCTCTCTCGCTCTCTTTCTCTCTTTCTCTCTTTCTCTCTCTCGCTCTCTCGCTCTCTCGCTCTCTCGCTCTCTCGTTCTCTCTCTCACACGCACACACACACACACACACACACACACACACGCACTTACTTGCATACAACCCATCCTTCTGTGTGACCTTCTGCCCCTTTTTTGTCCTTTGCAACCGTCACCTCCTCCCCTCCTGCCCCTCACTTCTGACCATGCCTCTCCTCATGTATGTAGCTGGCTCCATGATGAGGGGGCCAGCCTCCCGGCGCCAGCCCTCCTCCGGCGCAAGGCGGATGACATGGCCGAAATCCGCACGTCCAAGATCCCAGATGACGAGCTTCAGCGCATTCTCGAGCGCAAGGCCCAGCTCCGTCGGCCGAAGCAGCGCAACCTGCAGGATGAGATCCGCAAGTTGGAGAACTTCCACACCGTCTTCAGCCATGCGCAGCTGACCAACACCTCGCCGCCGGGGAACATCCTGTCGGAGTTTGTCTCATTCGTCGGGCAGAATTTCACCCCGGGCACTCCGCCCGAGCGGCTGCTGGCGGCGATCGACCAGAAGCGCGCCGAAATTGAGCGTCTGCTTGAGGAGCACCGCGAGATGTTCCTTCAGTCCCGCAAGGGTGCGTTTGGCTTTCTGTCTCTTTTCCGCCCCCACTTGCTGGCCGGGCCTCTCGCTCTTCCTCATGCGTCGGGCCTGCTCCCTCATCGAGAGCATGCCCATGGAGCCGCTCACCATTTCCCCGTGTCCCCCCCCCTCCCTCCTCCCTCCCCCCGGATCGACGTGTCGACACTCTTCCCTCTGCCATAGGCAACCAGGCCCAGAAGCTCCCCTCGCACCTGACGCAGCACGGTGTCGGGGACAGCTTGACCGAGTCGGCCCTCTCGGGCCTGGCCGGGCTGTCCCGCGAGACCCGGTCCTCGCTGACCTCGGCCGCGCAGCAGCTCCTCCTGTCGGTTCTCCAGCAGCCGGCACCTTCCTTCCCCCTGCGTCAGCCGGCCCTCCAGCGCGGGACAGCCTTCCCGGTCAATCCGCCTGGCGTGACCGCCGGCTCGCTTGCAGTGACTTCGGCTGGGTCCAGCAGCACTCCCGGCAATGAGTCCGAAGCGGCCCCCCACCAATTCACCCTGCGTGGGCTGCTGCGGTGCCCGTTCTCGGCCCCGGGCCGCTCGGCGCCGGCCGCCTCCTCTCACAGCCCCCTCGACCGGGAGATCACCTCCTTCCTGGATCTTCATCATTCGATGAGCGTCAGCACCGCGGTGGATCTGTCCTTGCTGCCGCCGCTGGCCGCGGTGTCCACAGCAACGGGCCAATCCTCCGTGTGAAGCTTGTCGGTGTGCCGCGTCAGGAACATACTTCCCCCCGCGCTTTTTTTCTCCCCCTCCTCCCCGCCTGAAGGTGGCCCATAAAATGTCTCTCTCTCTCTGTCTCCCGCCCTTTTTTGCACGCTTGTGCGCGCGCGCGCACACACACACACACACTGCCTCTCCAAGAGCGACCACCACACAAGGTCCTTCTCCTTGAAGGAGGGGGAGGGCGAGGGGAAATGTCATAGTGTGCCAGCACATCGCATGCTCGTCGGCGCGGACCGGGGAACACTGGCACTCCGCCCGCGCCGCGCGATGGGCGGCCCCCGCCTCTCCGGAGTCCAATACTAAGAGGGCCCGATTGGCCAATCATGCGGCTCGTGAATCGACATCACGTGCCCGAGTTTGGGATGGGTTGGCCGCGGAGACAGATTGAAATCCCCGGTCCGAGGGAAAAATGGACGCCAGCTTGAGGGCCAGCGGGATGGGCTTTCGCCCCTGCGCTTCTCCCGGCCGAGGGAGCGTTCCAAGCCAGAAAATGAAAAATAAAAACAACAACGGCCAACGGTGTTTCGTGCGCTGAACACTCCAATCGGGACTCTGCGGCCCTGCGCAGGCGCGCGCGCGCGCGCGCGCGCACCGTCGCTAGATTCTTGCTCTCATTGGGCCGGCGGCGCACAGCCCTGGCCCAGGTGTCAGGCCTTTTTTCAGGCGCCCTGTCTCGGTGTGTCCAGCCCTTGCCGAATGTGGTATCCTTCTCCATCCTCCTCGTTTCCCTTTGTGCCGTGCATCCCCCTCTCCCTCCCCCTCCCTCCGGACCGTTTTCCCCCCCCCCCTCCCCCCCTCCCACACCTCTTGCTCCCGTCTGTCCTCCTCCCCGATAGCACGACGCACATGAGTGCCGGGCGGTCTGTGCTCTCCCCGCGGAAGCCTTCCTCCGACGAGGGAGAGGCGTCGGCCGCCCGAGTGGCGGCCAGCGGCATCGGGGGTCCTGGTGGCAGTGAGGCCGAACCGGTGTCCCCCTTCCAATTGCGCCCGGTGTTTGTGGCACACACCCCGTCATCCAGTGCCTCGTCGCAGTCTCCCAGCACGCACTTCTCCAGTGTCTGTGTCAATGGTACGACGCCGCTCCCATCGGGCGTGTGAATGTACCGCTCGCCCCTCCCGGCCACCTGCTCCTTACCCTCCTCCATGGTCCCCTCGGCTGCGCCTTCCCCATTTGCCAATCTTTTCGATGACAGACAATCATGTCATCCTTGGTACCGTGGCCGGGAACCTGCTCTACTACACCAAGGAGGAGCAACTCGGCACCGGCGGCAAGAAGGTGCGTCCCGATTCTTTGCTTGCATGTGTGAGACTTTCGCTGTTGCGCCCTCTGCCTCGCTCTCTCGCTCGGCACTCACCTCTCGCGCCCCTTGCGGGGACCACAGTCCACCTTCTCCCTGAAGGCTGTGAAGCAGTCGGCTGCCGGCTTGAAGGCCCAGCCGGCCAACATCATCCAGCCCTTCATTTCGCGCACCCTGGCGCCACCCTTTGCCAAGCCGGCCGCGATTGCCGGTGCCGCGGGTGCTGCCTCGTCTGGTGCTTCGGCCAAGCTGGGCGCCGACCCTGTGCCGCCCGGACAGACCAAGGCCGTCAGCTGGATGGCCATGATCTCGGCCAAAACCTTCGCATCCCTCTGCGGTGCGTCCATGCTCCGGTCCCCCTCCCCCCTTTCCCTCCTCCCTCTGCCGTTTTGTTCCTCTCCCCTCCCCCTCCTCCCGCTTTTTTTCTGACTCCCCCGCATCCTCTCGTCCTCCTCGGCCTCCCCTCCTGTGCGTGATGTGATCCGATGTGGCATTCTGTCGGGTGGACGCGGGCCGGGCCTTTCCAGAGTCCACGCTTTCCTTCCATACCCTGCCGCACTTGACGCCCCCCAAGCTGATGCCCTACGGCCAGCCTGTGTCCACCTCGCTTAAGGCGAAGCTCAAGTCGACGGCCGTCGACCCGACGGTGGATCCGCGGCATTTGGCCAGCTGCCTGCGTGGGGTGACCTGTGCCACGTCGGTTACCACGGACTTCTACTCGGGGTATTCCTTCGTGGCGGCCATCAATCAGCCAGCCTCTGGTGTCAGCTCCCAGCTTCGACAGGCGGTTGCTCAATCGGGCACCTCGTCGTGGATTGCCATCGGCCACCCGTACGGGCTGGTGGTGCTTCAGCTGATTTCCGACCCGGCTGCCAGCGGGTCGGATATCGCCGAGGACACTGTCCAATTCCGGATCGTTGCCGTGCGTACTCGCTCCCCCGGTGTGCCAGCTGCTCCTACCTGTGAACTTCCTTGCTGGGTGTGCTGACCTTTTCCCATGTCTCTGCTCCGCCCCTCCCGCCCCCTCTCGTGGATTCTCCCCTCCTTGACATCCCTTGTCCCGCTTTTCTTCCCGCAGGAAACCGCCCTTCCCTTTGTGCCATTGTCCCTGGCGGTGTCCCCGCCGCACATCGCCAAGCAGTCCTCCTATCCGCAGCTGGTGGTCTGTGTGTCGCATGCCAGCGGCTTCTCCACAGTCAGTTACAAGCTTGGCGTCGGCCCCGGCAATGCTCCCCTTTCAACTGGCATCGTACAGGAGCTCTTCCCCAGTTCGTGCGTGCTGGCTGATGCTGTCCCCCCCCCCCCCTCCTCCTCCCCCTCTCCTGTTGTGGATGCAAAAGGCCCCTTTCCTCATCTTACACACACACACCCATACGCACACACCTGTGCCCCATGCCCTTTCGCTTCTTCATCCATGCAAGACCCTCGCCCAGTGTGGCGCCGGGGTTTGTGCCGGTCGTCCGGCACATCCCGGCGACCGAGACCGAAATGCTGGTGATCCCGACCCCGGAGAATGCTGGTATTCCGGTGGCCACCGATCCCGGGGAGTTCTCCCTGCTGGCCTTCTCAGGCAATAGTGCGAGCATAAATGCCACACCGACACACACACACACACATGCACACACGAGCGCATTTGCATTTGCACCCGCGAGCTCCGGCCGCACATGACCCTCCGCCGGCTTTTCTGACGCCGATCCCCCTCTTCCCCACGCCGTGGATGGCATCCTTGCCGGGCTCAGAGCTGCTTGCACACACTCTCCATGCCACGTCGTCGATTTCGCCCAGTCGGACGACGGTTTTCTTCAGTCTGGCCTCCGCCAGCAGTGGGCTTTCTCCGCTGGCGGTGGACAGTCTCATTCTGCATGGTGCCCCCTTTAGTTCGGTGTCCACCATCTGGCGCGACCGGATTGAAACCGTGGCCTCCATTTCGCCGCAGGATCTATCCTCCGGAACCGGGGAGACTTCCTGGGCCACGCAAAGCCTGGATCCAAACATGGAGGAGGAGCTCCAGGCATTGAATTTGCGCACGTCGTTGGCTCCCCAAGCCCCGGGGCCGGCCAACGCCCCCGGTGGGAGCGCCCTTTCGGCCGGGGCCCTGGTGACCATTCACTACCCGGGAACTGCATACCGTCTGGCCTTGACCTCCTCGGGCTCGGTGAGTCGGCCCCTGGATGACCCGTTCCTTCTGACGCAGTGGGGCTTGTTTTCCATTGCCCCGGTGACCAGTCCCCTGCAAATTGCCAATGGCCTGTTGCGGCAGGCTGCTCGGCATATTGCCACCGTCATCAGGGGCCCTGCCGCGGGCGCATTGCCAAGCGTCGCCGAAGTGCTGGCCACCACCAGTGATGCGGTGTCCTTGGCCCATCGATTTGTCATTCGCGAGCTGGCAGTCCGCGCCAGCGGCGCCCCGGGCTCCGGATTCCAACATGATGGCCGGTTCCTCGGCAGCTCGGCCTCCATCACCACCTCGATGATCGGCATGAATGCCCGCGATGAGGCGCTGGTGCGTGGGGGGCCCTGGTGTGCCTCCTCCTGCTCCTCCTTCTCTTCCTCTTCGCGCGGCTGTTGCCCTGACTGCCTGCTCCCTCGCGCGCCTTCCCCCCCCCCCCTCTTGCATGTGTCGTCTGTCGGTCTGGGCCTCCCTGTCTCGGCGTAGGCCATGGTGCGCTTTATCCGCCTCAAGGCGGGCTACATTTGCCTCGGAGCCATGGCTCTGTGCCAGGGGCGCGATTCGGGCGGCAGCCAGCTGGAAGGCCCCTCGGCCGAGGGCGACGCAGCCGACACCTTCGGCCCCTTTGCCTCTGCAAGCCGGGCCTCCGCCGAAGAGGTTGGCGTTGATGCGCGCCTTGTCTCGGATCTTCAGCTTTGTCTGTCCTACTGCTTCTCCTGGTTCACCAAGGGTGCGTTTGCCTCTGCCCTGGCCGGATGCCAGCATTGGTTGCCCTTCGGATGACACGATGCCCTGACACCCCTGCCTGCTTTCCTTTCACTCACACTCTCCTTCTCTTCCCCCCCCCCCCTGTCCGGGTGTGCCAGGCTGTTTGGACCCGCGCGACCTGGTCCGCATTTTCGCCCTCGGCGGCCTCCTCCCGAGCTCGGCCGTGTCGCGCGAAGATCCCGCCGGTGCTCCCACCGACCTGACATCCAGCTCGACACTTCAAAGTGGCAACGGCTTTTCGGACATGGCCGAATTGCGTGCGTCCAGACAACCAGCGAAGAAGCAAGGCCAGGCGAGGGGAGCAGGTCCCCGCGCGAATGGCCCATCTACCCGTTTTGCTGCTGACCATGCCTCAACCGGGCTTTCCACGCCTCGGCTCACTGACATCCGACCCTTTCGCCCCTCTCGGAAGTCGAGTCACTTCGGCGCACGCATGGCCCTGTGGCGCGTGACTATGCCCACAAGCAATCGCACATCCTCCTCGCCCGGGTGCTGATCTACTTCCGCCGAGGCCACCCGGCCATCACGCCGCCCATCTTCCCGGCCTTCCGTGCCGTGCGTGTGCCCGTTGGCGCCTCCGCCCCCGCCTCCATGGGTCTTCCGTTTGCCCCTCCCATTCTCACATGCCCCCCCCCCCCTCCCCCGCCGTTTGCCCCCGGTCCATCTTGTGCCCCGGTCCTTGTAGGAGGTCGACACCGCCCTGCTGGCCTGCCTCAGTCGGCTGGACGCTTCGCATGCGGCGTTCCTCCTCCTGACTGGTGGTGCGCCCGACGAGGGGCCCCCGCCAGCCAGCATTGGCCGGGGCATTGCCGATCCGTCAGCACCCTTGCTGATGCAGCTGGCCCCGTTGGTTCCCGCCGGCATGCATGCGGTCGATCTCATCCCTCGACCGGCGGCCGTCTGGTGGCAGGCGCACTGCTCGGCCGGAAGCGACTTGCCCCTCATGACGCCGGGCCATGCCCGCTCCCCCTGCGACGAGGCGCTGGTCCAGATGTTCCGGTCATCCCAGTGCTTCACCTCGCCCGTGGGCCGGGCCTTCACGCCGCTCTATTCCGGCAGCATTGATCGGCCAATGTTTGACACTCTGGCGGCAGCCGGTGTACGTGTGATCCCCCCCCCCCTCTCCTCCTCCTTCTCCCCCTCGCTCCGTTGGGGCCGAGCTTCCGAGACCCTCTCCCCTGCTGCTCGTCTTTCGACTCTCCTGCCAGCAAGCCGACTGACACCTGGGCTCGGCGTGCCTGCCCTGCCCGTTCCCCCTGTCGATGCAGCATGCCCGGTGGTTCCTGCTCGCGCAGAAGGCCCGCGGCCAATTGGCCGACGCCATCCACCTGTCACTCCACCTGCTCCTTCGCCGGGCCACGGTGGATGCCACTCGCGCCACGGTAGCCCTACGCTCGGAGCTGGGGGATCTTGGCCAAACGCCCGACCTGGAGGCCTGGCTTGCCGCGGCCCCGAGTGCCCTCTCGGACCCGGGCCCGGGAGCCGACGGCACGGCCGCCCCTCTGCCGGGGGCCGAACTCAGCCTGAAGGAGCTCTCGGCGTGGGTGCCCTTTTTGGCGCTGGCGGCCCCGCAGCCGGCCATGCCGGCCGCTCTGCGGGCCAGCCTCGCCTCGGGCCAGCCCCCTGGGCCCGGGTCCGGTCGACCCGGCTCCGAGCCCCTGTCCGCGAATGGCTCCCCTTCGGGGGACCTGATTGACGGACTGGCTCGACTGGGGATGTCCCCGACCGGTGGCCGGGCCAATCCCCACCTTGCGCACATTCACGCCAATTGGCAAGCGGCATCGGCCCGGGCCCGGCAGGCTGCCTGGCAGGGCTTCACTCGGGCCACATTGGCTGCCTTTGTCCTGGGCCTGACCGCGACCGAGGGCGGCCTCGAGGGCGGCACGGCGAGCGCCGTGAAGCCTGCCAACCTGGGTACCTTTGTGGCGCACGTTGAGTCCGCCCTGGCGGCCATGGTGGCCTCCATGCATGTGGCCCTGCTCGGGGACCATGGCCTGCCGGCTGGCGCCTCGACCGTGGCCTCGCCCGGCGCTTCGGGCCCCGGTGGCACGGGCCCCGCCGTGCCGGGCCTGGCCTCGAGGCACTGGCGTGCGGCCGTCGTCGGCGCCACGCTGGCCGCCGGCCGGGGCCTGGTGTCTCTGGTCCACCAGCATCTTCAGCGTCTGGGGCCTGGGTCGTCTCCTGCGGCGGGTCCGGCCGCCGGCGCCGGAAGGCTGGTCACCCCGGCCGATCTGGGCGACTGGCTAGACGAGACGTACCTGTGGTTCCTGGAGCTACTGAACCGCCATTCGGCGCGAGTGCCTGAAAACGTGCGTCCCCTGCTTCCTCCTCCGGCGCCGTCTGCCAACACACTTCCCCCCCCCCCCCCCCCCCCCCCC